AGCTGTGCACGGAGCAGTTCACCTGCGTGCTTGGACGCTTCACTTGACTCTATGAACATATACCGCATTTAGTCCCTACGTCGATATTGGGAGAAATAATCTTACTAATATTATAAACTAACTTTCGCCCGCGACTCCGTCCGCGTAGAATTAAAAAAAAACAAAAGTGAGCATCTCTCTCTATCCTCTACGTTTATACCAAATTTCATCGAAATCCGGTGAGTACAAACTCTAACAAACATCCATCGATCCGTTCATCCATCTAAACTTTTGCATTTATGATATTAGTAAGAAGTAAGACATAACAGTTTAGATGGATGGATGGATGGATCATTGTTAGAGATTGAGGCCTAAACAGATGAACGGATCTGGATTAATTTTTATATAGATGTAGAGCATAGTGTAAAAGAACACATAGTATGCTCACTTTTGTTTTTTTTAGAGCACGCGGACGTATTCGCGGACGAAAGCTAGTATTACTAATATTATAAATGCAAATGTTCAGATTGATTGGTGAAAAACGATACAACGGATCTAGATGAAATTTGTCACAGATAGAGATAGTCTGAAAAAATATAAAAACTCATTCATAGTATAAAAAACGATAAAATGGTTATCGTAAACACCGAGTTTGATGCATATATCGAAGTTACATATGTCACAGGAAAATATACAAAATTACAGAACATTTAGAACATATTTTCTTTTATCATTCCAAATAAGATTGAGGGTCGTTCTATAGGCAAATGTCAGGATTCGAACACAGCGCCAAAAACGGCTATTACTGTTTTATATTATGCGAATGTGTGCCTACATTAAGTTACACAAACTATTATTTAAATATGTAACATAACCATACAGATGCTAATTTAAATTTGTGAATATATTTACCGTGCAGTTGCGTTCATCGGAGTCATCCTTGCAGTCGTTGTCTCCATCGCACACCCAGCGTTTATCCACGCAATTACCATTACCGCACTGAAATTCATTCTCGCTGCAGTTATGTTTGCCACAATCTGTAACAATAAAGTAGAAAAAAATATATTCCGTTCGTGTGCCCAATCGTCGAATCGTTCCCTTCCCATCCTTCTCTTATAAGAAAAAAGGAACTAAAGTTCGTCCGAATCTCTGACACCAAAGTACTGTGACGTCATAAAGTCATACCTTTCTCGTCAGTCATATCTGAGCAGTCGATGTCGCCGTCGCAGCGCCACTGCGGCAGGTAGCAGCTGCCGTTGTCGCAGGCGACGCGTGGCGGCGCGCACACGCAGCCCGCCTCGTCCGACCCGTCGCCGCAGTCGTCGTTGCCGTCGCAGCGCCACGACTGAGCTATACACATGTCGTTCTTGCACGAAAACTGATCCTGTCAATATTAATTACTTATTAATAAAACTTGAAAGCTCAATGCTACATATCATACTAATATTATAAATGCGAAAGTTTAGATGAATTGATGGTTAAACGGCTGAATGAATCTCGATGAAATTTGGCATAGATGTAGAGAATAGTCTTTTTCATAACATAATGTACTGAGCAAGCGGCCACCTGAATCCGCCAAAATGGCGAAGCGACCGCTGCCCATAGACATCCGCAATTGCAGATGCGTTGCCTACCTTTATCCG